CGCCCCGTAGAAACATCTGGGGCTCGGGGTCGTAAATCTGACCGGGTGAAACATATTTTATTGTGCGGACGTAACGAATGGATGCTCTTGCGCGCATTGCGCGCCCGCCACTGCAAGTGCCGTCCTCCTGCTACGAAAATATTAATGCAACTTCATCAATCATACTGCATAAACAGTGGGTCAAGAGGAGAATTTACCGCTCGCAGCGGCGACCAGTGTGCGCGGCAGCCTGACGAACATAATCGCGAATGATTTTTTAAACGAAACGTCATTTTATTATCGAACGTATACTTGTCGTTGGCTTTCTCAGGAAATGGATTGTCCGGGAAAATGAATATTTTGGTTTGTAAATTTTGCCAATGAATAAGTCTGGACGACTTAATTCTTGACTTCTTGAATATAGCTTGAAGACAATGAAACAATCAAAACAGACATTTTTCACTTGATATATCACGACATTTCGTGAAAGAAAAATAATTTCATATTAATAAAAAAATTTAATGTCAAAGCCAAGGTCGAGCGTTTCAAGATATTTTATGCGGCGGCTCTTTTTATTAATAGTAAATTCAGATATAAAAGCTATACGTGCGTAAATCGCGCGTTAAATTTCAACGCGCGGCTTAGACACATTAAACGCGTGTCAAAGGAACGACCTCAATTTCTCAAAGAGAGCTAATCTCGATATAACCGAGAAGCGATGAGTCAACCGCATGTTTCGCCCGTTTGAGGGCCCTCGGGCATATCGCGAGCGCCGAGAAGAAAGGGAGGCGAGGGAGAGGACGTGCGTGAGTTTCACCGAGCGCGTATTCCCATGGGGTCACGCGGCAGATTTCTGGATTACGTACGATCCGGGCTTTTGATAGAAACTTATATGGCAAGGAAGCGGATGGCGCATTCGGCATTAAGGAAGTACGTGAGTCTAGAACGCGCGGCACTTATGGGTGCGTTTTCATATCTTTCTCTCTTTCGCGGTGCGCGTCTCCTACCGGTCCATGTCCTCCGCGTATATCCTACCTTTTCCCCGCGCGCGTTCACGAATTGCCTAACGTACCTACATCCGAAACATCATCCAGTAAGCATCTTTCTATTCTTTCTGCGTAAAATAATTTTACAAATTTTAATATCTTCTTAGTCTCACATTGCGATTTGCATGTATGGTTTAATGTAACGATGCCAAACTTTACGATTAGTCGAAAAAGAAGCATTTTTGGATTCATATTTATACAATCAATCTTACTCGTTAAAATGAACGGAACGAGCTTCTAAGAACTGCAGGCTATTTAGAAATCATCCTGTATAGCCCTTAAGGAGGATATTCTAACGGTGCTGAGGGGATAAACATCCTCGGCCGTATAATTGCAAGAGTGTTGCGTAACGCGTCGTTTGTGCGTCGGGTCGTGTAGGGTCTTTCCATGGAATCGTCGAACGTCTAGTCCCAAACGGCCGCGATTTAACACGACGCATCTTTGTACAAGATTCGTATACACGCCGGCAGCGCCTCTCGGTGCGTACGATTTAGCCGAGGTGTAAATCACGAAGGAAGATCGCATAGGCACGTACCGGCTCGAAGGAAAGCTCTCTTCTCCCTGTTTCTCTTTCCCTCCTCTCCACGCGCACCTCCTACCCGCCGTCCTTCTTCCTCTTTCCCAGTCGTCTCTATTCGCGGTCACGATGGGAGCAGCTCTTAGCGGGGCCATCTCTGGTCGCTAGAGCAGGCATCAGCTGCCTGACAAGGAGTATAATTAATCCCTAATGACGCTGGCATAAATCCATCTCGGTAGGCCGTTTGCCCGATCGCCGCGGCTCGCGCGCCGCTGGGTTTACTAGCGAAATCAGCGCCAGCTTTGTCGCTGTCGTCCATTTTCCGTGTTATTTATGCGCCCATCACTGGAGCCGCACTGCCGCAAGTTCGAACTGGCGGCCGAGAGGAAAGCTGAGAGCTCTTCCTTGATGAATCCGCTTGCGTCGCTCCCGCGGAAGCGCGAAACGACCTTCGCAAGGAGCTGCCGTTACATTAGAAGACATTACGCTTTTCGAAGTATTTTACGATAATTGATAGAACAGTCTTTCCTAATTAATATTTATGGCGGTATTAATAAAACTGAGAATTACCTTTCGTTTCAGAGGACCTTTAGTTTCTTTTAAAAAGTATAAAGTAATAATTTAAGGAGAAAAATAGTTTGTTTTAAGATTCAATTTGCTCGTAAACATATATATTCTCAATTACATACGATTATACGTACTTTACTTGCGCGAATTTCAACTGCTGTCGACAATCACGGCGAGCATCATTGGCGACCTCGCTTGCTCGAGCGTTTAAATTACCGACCCGGTGAAACGCCGCGAGACAATGGAGCGATAAAGCCGTTGGATAAAATGCAACGCCGGCTATAAATCGCGCGATGATCCAGTTTACAGCGTACGTACACCACCGCGGGACATGAGATGCGGTTAACGTCATGGAATTATAATTTCGACTTATATCGATTCGTGCATATAATTACTCTCGAGATAAAGTCAAGGCCTGAAAATCCCGTCCGTATCCGACGCGCGCGATCTTTAACATTGTTATTTCGCAATCCGTGCTTCTGCTTTCCATTTCGTAAGAAGATTCGGTCTGATTCATCGTATTCTTTAAATTGCGTATCATTATATGATAATTATATGATAATTAAGAATCACGGATTCCTCTCCAATTATTAGGTATTCACTTCGTGTTTTATTTGAAATACCGCAAATGTAGCTGAAGTTGCGAAAGCCAACAAACAATTAATGGAACACAGGGCTGACCAATGTACCGATCCCATGTTTATACAATTCTAGAAACGATTTTGTGCAATTGACGAATGCACGGATAACTAAAGAAAGAAGGGGAAAAGGGGGCGAGGAAAAGTAAGTGAGAGCGTTTACCGATTCCCGGATAGCGGGGGTCCTTCCTGGAAAGGATCAGGCCCGCACGCTCGTTCTCTCGAGCACGAGCATAAGCGCGGGGAGGGAGGGTACAAGCGTGATGCGCTTCCACGGAGCCCCGCGTTCGTCCGGAACGGACTTGCACCGCGCGCGGCGCGATGGCAAGCAAGAAGGGCAAGAGGGAGAGAAGACGCGCGCGCGCTCGCGCACGCGGCCGTTGTGAAGAGGGAACTCCGCAAAGAGGGAACTGGCGTACCGAATTGATGCACACGAAACGGCATGCCCGGAATGTTATAATCGCGAACCTTTGAACCCAAAGCCGAGACTCCCACACCACCCGGGGATCGCGCGAGCGCCGCGCCGGGCCCCGTTTCCATCGTTGAAATTACTCGTGTTACTCTCCTCTTTCGTGCCGCGCCGGTATCGCCTGATACGCTTCCACGAAAGCGTCCCGGTCGACGCGCGGCGGCGATATAATAATTCTCATGCGTTTCCCCTGGGTCGCACAATAACGTACCTCCGATACGCTCCAGACGCGGAATAATTCGGGGGATTAGCCTCGCTCTTATCGCATCCAGCCGAGATAAATTCTCCCGCGTTGCCCGCGGGTTGCTTAACCCGGCTCAGACGCGAACGAGAAAATATGAGGCCGAGTGCGATGAAAGTTAATCGCGACTTATCGCGCGATATTCGAACGCGATATGTATATATATGTATAAGCTTTACGAGCGAGAAGTCACAAAACGATTCTCGCCGAAACGGGAACTCTAACCCGTACACATGGCACGCGCATATACCTCTCGAAACGGGGAAAAGAAATGGAAGGGAACGGACCGAAAGACGGATAGCTTCGGAGAGTCCGGAAACCTCGTGGCGTCTTGCGAGACGACGCGCGTGCGAGTCACCTTATACTCCCACGAATGGCCTACGGGTGAGTCCTCGCTGCCTTCGTCCGGGCGTGCAGCCGCGGTGGGCGTTACGGTAATTAATTTTTGCTTGATAATTAAGATATCCCGAGAGCAGACGCTGAGGTATACCCCGCGGTAGCGTCATTTTTCAAACGCCGGGTATCGCGTGCTCTCGCTACGCGTGGCCTAAAAACACTAGCGACCGTGTCGAAGCCGTGGCGACGACGGCGGAAAGGCGCTAGCCCAAGGCGTCCAGAACCACATTTTGTTTTTGCGATTTTTTTTTCTAATGCGCAGCTGTAGACGATACGTTAAGATCTAAACCGGCGTCTATGTTAATTCTGCACATTTGCATCTTTTGCGATGTAAAAAAAAAAGGTACTTCAATGGGGCCCGGATACGCACGATTAATCGCACCGCGTCATTCTTTATCACCGCTACACCGCCGACTCTCTCGGATATATCATAAACAAATAACGTTTTAAATCGGTGAGTTCCGCCATTAACAAGCATCTACGCCCACGCAAAATTCGCAACTAACGTGCACGGAAAGCCGCGATTGTGAAAGTTTCATCATCGCGGTATAATGTATATTTCATCGATTGTATATTAATTTCCGCGTAAACGTTTCCGTCGTTTTTTCGTCTCGCTCACGTCGTCGCAACGTTCGGTGAACGGCGGAGATGCGACGAAGAGGGGGAGAAGACGGCAGAGCGCGCGAGGAGGAAGGAGCGCATCACGGAGCTGAAACATCTGGCCCATGGTGTTGGTGTTTCGTGGCCTCGTGGGGATTATTAATTGTTTCATCTCGGCCCTTATCCGCGCCTCCCCGTTTGCACGACTAAGCAAATACGGGGGGCGTAACCCACACGGTGATGTACGAGCTTAAAAGCCTTCGCGATCGGCCACGAGAAGCCTCTCTCTCCTACGCCACGGAACTGAGAAAGGGAGAGAGAGAGAGAGGGAGAGTGAGGGCGAGCGAGAGAGGCAGATGGGTAGATAGATAGATTAGAGAAAGCGAGAGAAGGGTGGGAGGGAAACGAGGAACGGAGTCGGAGGAAGAAAACCGACGGGGTTATCGTCTGATTTATAATTTGAGGCTCTGGGTGCACCTCCGTGGAATACATACCGACCCGATGTTTTCCGGTTCAGGAAACGTAATTGGTTGCCAGCACGATCATAGATAGCCGCCGGTTCGAATCGGGCCTCGAAAGCGTCCCGGAGCCGATCGTAGAATAGCTTCGTCTCTTCCTCGCTCGCCCGGCTCGCGCAGCCTTGTGTCCGGGCCTTGCGCTTCCTTTTCTGCCACTCCTGCTCGCTGTTATCTGCCGGAACATTTTTAATTCCCGTTTGAGATCACGAATATCGACCGGTTACCAAGGGTATAAATCAAGAATCGATCCGGGTAGCTGTTGGAAGTCAACGATACCTGCCTCTTTTACCGGGCACCATCTAGATCAAACACTTTTGCAATTAATGATTTCACTCACGGGCATTCTCCGAATCAGCTGTACGCTATATGCAATCATAAAATATATACTGTAGAAATATATATATTCTACAGACAGAAATAAATTAGATGTATGTTACTTTTCCTTTCTATACTTCTATTTTATATGTATTATATATGTAAAAATCAAAATAATCTTTCACTTAATTATCTCATTGCTGCTATAACTATACAAAAATATTTATACAGAAAAAGTTTTATTTTACAATTCTAATTTTACAAAAGCAAGAGTAAAGACACGAAGAGTAAAATGATCATTGAACAAATCCGACATCTGTCAGAAATGAATACCAGTAAAATAAGAATCTTTAATCTTCAAAACTATTAGTTTTTATTTTAAGGAGCAATCTTTGGAAAAGATTGAAATCGTTGTAATAAACGATATATACGTAACGCGTCGCTGGACGTTCGGTCGGTAAGATTAAAGCGATCGGGATATCGATGTATCTGCCAAAGCGTCGGATTGAATCGAGTTGATCGGACAGACGGCGCCAAAGATTGCGCGTGATCTCGCCACGCATGCACGCACGCACGTACGCACGCACGCACTCGCGTGCCACTCACGCATCTCTCTCGTCCCGCAGCTCCTCGGCGCACATACACGCCGACGATTTGTTATAACCGCGGGCTCGCACGGGCGCATTTGTATCTTTCCACGTTGGCTCTCGGTGCGTCAGCCTCGACATCTTCATCCTGACTTGACTCGACTCGAGACGCGAATGCGGACGGTCCGATCGCGCGGTTCGCAAGCGGGCCCGGGTCCACAAGCAAATATACGCACGCGCGCGCGCGAGCGCTGAATTATGGGGTGCGGGAACACCCACTTCCTGGTCATCGAAAGCCACAAACTCCCACGCATACCGGCACGTCTCGCTCGGACGGGACGCCGTGATGTATCCGCCGTGAGCCACCAGCATCCCGCACTCTTCCCCTTTCCCCGCGTCGTCGTCATCGCCCTTTCCCTCGAAAGCGTTCTGCGGCGCGCGTGCACGCGTGCCCTATCATTATTCGCGGAGCGATTCGTTAATCAATCACCTTATCCAATTGGCCGCCACACTGTAGCGAAACATTTCATTCCGCGGGAGTGAACCATTATACGTTCTCGAGTACCGAGAGCGTATCTCCGTCGACCAGATTCGCGGAGGTTTAAAAAAGACGTATTCGCAGCGAGATGCGTTTATCCGGCGCGATTGCCCTGGCGCCAATTCGCTCTCGCTCAGAAGCGAGATCCCCGTTGCAGGCCCCGGTCGGAAATGTTCTCGCCGACGGGCGCCGAACAGGCGCCGCGAGGCGCACGAAGAGAGAGGAGAAAGGAAGCGAGGAAGAGGGTCCGTGGATGCGGACAGTGAATTCTGAGATGGGACAATAAATTGTTATGCATCCAGCATTCGACATGTCGGTCGGATAAAAGAAGGAGCTCCGGGAGACAATGCCCGTGCGTCGCCGCGCCCGAGAACCCCCTCGGCGCATCCGGTGCGTTTTCAAGGAAGCTTTCGGTGCGCCGTGACACATATCAATTGATTTTCACGGGCGCGAGTCCCCCGTGGTCGAGCCACGTTCGACATATTGCCGCGCACGTTCCTTATTCGAGCGACGAAAAAGCTCGTGGTGCGAGCGAGAATAAAGAATGGCCCCGCTTGACCGACACCGCCGTAATTCTTCTCCGAATCTCGATATTACACGTGTCGTGACGCGCTTTCAGATTTCGGTGCCTATCGCCACAAAAATGCGCCAACGAAAATTCAAAGGCAAACACGTCGGATTTGCTTATCGCTATTACAGAAACGTTGCCTATATCTGATAATTGTTGCCGTTACACAAGGATGTTTAGAAATGAAACAAGCGAGTGTTAAATAGAATACTTAATGCTCTGTAGGATTATTCTAATGTACTAGCTTGAGAACACGTCTTGACTACAATTAAAATCACAACGTAAACATGGTCGTACTCTATGAGAATCATAAGAATTCTCAGAAGAACCATCGAATTCTCACGATAATTGTTGAGCTATAAAAATAGTTATAACTTAAAAAAATATTAAGTATATAAGTTCACATCAAAATCTTTTTTATTGCTCGCGTTGATTCATCTATGTGCGTGCAAGATCCGTTCGATCTCTCGCACAATTTAACGAAGGCTGTGCCGATTTCAACGCTTAAACGCTTTAAACACTATTGCAATAAAAGTTTTTCAGCGACGAAAGTTTATTAGTAATAAAAAGCTTATTACGTAACATTATTGCAACTTCATCGAACAAAGAACGAATTTTGTCACGCAAAATCATATATTTTTAAAGAGTTTTTAAGAGTGATTGTTAAGAGATTATTTTCAATTTGACGTTAATAATCAAACGTTGCCAAATGAAAATAATCTTATGCATAGCGATAAAGTTGCAATCTTGTATCTTTTATATTTTATAATATCTTATTGAACCTTTTTATAATGCTTGCAGTATGCATTATAATCTTGATGCAGTATTACATATTTTTCAAGAATCATATCTTGCTCAATTCATTCTCAATATAGATGCTACCAATAACAAAATGATTAATACATAAAGCTTCTAACCAATTCAATTCAGCTGTACCGTCACACGTAATCACACTTTTATGTAATTGTTCTTACGTACAGATCTAATATAGATAAATTATCGGAATCACCAATACGGTAAAGAAACTAAAACTGTCGCTCTTTTGGACAGACTTCAAATTTCCCTATTCAATCTTACGAAACTTGATCACGCTCAAAGACGATATCGTGGTGAATGAGCAAACGCGATCGGGCAATCGTTGCGATTCGAAATTATTTGGACGACCGATCGTCATCGATCGCGCATGTCCCCCTGCCCCCCCCCCCCATAAATTCCACCGAGTAGCCAGAAACGTTCTCTCTCTCCCCTTGGAAACTACTTTGTTTTACGTCTCGACACCCACGTCTCGTATCTATGCAGCGCACACACACCTTCCTCGCGCTCTCGAGTGCTCGCGCGCTAACATTCGAAGCCTCCCCTACGAGCATCGTCTTACACAAAGCACGCGCGCCGTTCAATGTAAAGCGTTAAAGCGCTACGTGATTGAATTCGACAAGCGACCGGACACCGCGCCAGTCCAAGCCACCATTTCGCGCACGCCGGCCGAATATCAAGGAGAGAGATCGTTAGAAACGTTTAGAATTAGTCGCGCCTTTTGCCAAACAATGACTACGATTTTGCCGATTGATTTGAATCAGCCGGCACCGTGCAGTCATGCCGAAAGCCGCCGTTGCGCACCGCTCAAACGCGTTCCACAGATGTAATGCCAAATGCGATTCTTGACGTACGCTCAATTGAAATGCGTTTCACCGTACATTTTTACCGTTCACAATATTCGTCTCTAATGTCATGGTGCTATATACGGTTTATATAACAATATCCGAGTTATTTTCTACAAGGCTCTGGAAGCAGCTTTGCGTAATCGATCGTGAAACGCAAGGATCACCTTGATCCACGAGACATTCTCTCGACGACTGTCTTCTTCCAACTCCGTCACGGATAGAACCTAGAAGTCGGTTCGTTATCCAGTTACACATATTGCGGAATTGGATCACGTATACATTGGTTGATCGTGATTTATTTATCGTTAGGAACTCCTCAAGATGTATTCAGATTCACGTCTTATCTTTGACGTGTATATTAATGAGAATTACGCGAGACAGTTGGAATCTACTCAAACGATGTACAATAGATATCAATAATTGTGCATTCTGCACGCGCAATTGTGCACATCTGATGCAAAAAGATTTATATTGGTCATGCGAGAAGTTACGAAGACAAAGTTTACTAGCTGATGTTACAACCTCGAGAGCAATCAAAATGAGAGATGGAAATGTCGGCATTATCTTGAAAAAGATCAATTTTTTGCAATCTTATTTTTTTTAGCTATTTTATACTGCAAAGTTTTCACAGGACGAATTGATTTCACGGTGGGTAGGTATCGCATATAGACGCGAGCATCTCCGTGTTCGTCGACACGATCGACAGCCGGGATCTCTACGAATTGACGTGACGTTTTTCGATTTCAGTACGCATGTTTGAATTCCGATCTGAATCGGGAACACAACGCGCAGCGTTCACGTAATATTATCCGGCGATTCGCTCGCCTACGCCAGAAGAGCTGCCGCGCGAGATCGTGAGAAGTACTCCAGATCGGGCGAGCAGGATCTGCCAGGTACATATCGTCTCTCGACTGGCTGTTAAACTCAGATCGCTAACAAAGTGAGGATCAAATAATAACACGTTATGATCGCGCTGCTTCGAAGATAGATAGCGCTCGGTGTGAGTGAATAATTTGATAATGGCAGCGGCGGCGGCGGCGGCGGCGAAGCGTCTTGTCGTACTCTTTTCGCCCTCGCTGCCTCTTGAGAGATCGAGAACGAAGAGCGCGGCCGAAGAGGGAAGATGATCTCCGATCGTTGCCCGAGATCTAGCACTCGTCGCTCTCCCTTTCTCGCCCTCGCTTTCTACATCCTCCTTCCTGGTCTGCTCGTCCTCCCTCTCGACACGCCGTTCTCTTCCTCTCCTTTCCGTTCTTTCATACTTCTCGTCCCTTGGCTCCATCTTATTTTCACGCTCCCTGTCTCTCCCTCTCTCTTTCTCTCTCTTTCTTTCTCTTTCTCTCCCCGCCGTCCGCCCACGAGATCCCCGACCTCTTCCCTCCCGATCTCGAAAGATCATGCCGCGAGATGCCAGGGCTGCTCGTGATATAGCCGGGCGGACGGGTTATACCACGAGATCGCCTCCGCCGTCTCGTGTAAAGGGATATTCCGGTGCTTCGGATA